CCGGGAGGGTAAGCATCACAGAATGCCAGTTTGTTAGAACAAAGTGTTCTTGCATTGAGGGAAGGCATTACCAGAGGCCAGAAGTCCATCCGTACGTATAAATATCTGTACATAAGCCAATACTTCTGTCTTATGAATTATTGTATTTACATATGTACATAGCTTTGCTTATACCTCTAGCCATAGCTTAGCCTCCTAGATCGTTCCTCTGCTTTCTTTTACCTTCCTCCTACCCCACCATCACACTTGCCCTACTTCTGCCTCTTAGTAATTCCTCTCAACTAGATTGCTGTTGCTCCACACCCCCCAGGATCTCTATGTCCTCCTCATTGTTGATTTTAACCAAAAAGGTTTGAAGAATCATCAGAAGAGTTTTATTTGAGCAATTGAGTTCAGAATTGTATGAGAAGACTAATTTTTTTAACATGGAGAAATCAGCAAATATAACATACATCTTATCTTATGCATAAATTTGCAATAAATGCACTAACTTGTTCTAGTATGATAGTTCTTTTATAGACTTTTAGAATACAGAAATGGATAGGTCTAAGTTGTTCCAATATATCAAATTTCATAGTATGTTTTTTTAAAAAGCTATTTGAATAAACACGAGCCAACATTTTCCCCTCTCAAACTTTCAGTACGGTCAGGGTAATGAAGAACTGAAATGAATTATTAAAGAATGTTATTTTGAGATATCTATTTTAAGAACTATTCGTTTCTGATATTTACTTGTTCAACTACGCATCAATATAGAGCACAAGCAGCATTCTATGTAAGAATCTTTAATCCTTTGTCATTTCTAAATGAACTGATTAGACAAATTAACAATTGATAGGGATTAAATTTTTCCAGATCAGTGACATGAAAACACAAAATAATAATAAGCCAAATATCTAATATTAATAAAATCCAATAGAATTTTATGTACCTATTATTTTTAAAAAACGAGTAGTACATTTGCTTCAGAAACAAAGGGCTAGAACGTGGTTGAATATGCAACTCTTAGAATCAAACAAAATATTTATGATCACAGCTTTTGTGGCTGTAGTTAGGTACTGCTGGGTCTGTTTCAGCTCACAGTGACCTGTGTCCAACAGAAGGAAACACCTCCCCGTCCCACACCACTCTCTAATTGTTATGTTTTGAGCCCTTTGTTGTAGCCACTGTGTCAATCCCTCTCTTTGTCGGCTGTCCTCTTTTTCACTGCCCTCCTATGCCAGGCAGAATGTGCTTTCCCCAGGGGCTGGTCTCTCTTGAAAACAGGTCTCAAGTACAGGAGACAACGTCTCACCAGCCTTGCTTCCTAGGAGTATTTTGACTGCACAGATTCCATGACAGATGTTTGTTCTTCTGCCGGCCACGGTGCTTTTGCTATTGTTAGCTAACACCATAATTCCAAGGCACCGATTCTTTGTTGGTCTTTATTCGTTGTCCAACTTTCATATGCACGAGGTAACTGAACGTACCAGGTCTTGGGTCAGGGGCAGCTCTAACTACCCAAATTCTGCCAACTGAAGAGTCGAGGGTGATTGTGTGGTTGTGGCCGCTGATGTAGATCATTGATAGCTTGACTCTCGGCCTTTCCCTGTGTAACAAAAGTCATTCACCCCGCTTTTCCCTTTTACTTCCATTTTTCATTTGTAAACAAAGCACACCATTTGGCTCCCTATTAAAAATATGCAGAGAGTCAAAACAACCAAACAAAACTAGCAGCTACCTTGATGCTACTTGCGATACACGTTTGCACACTCTTAATCCAGAAACATTCGACCTTTTACTTTGAAATCACCTATTTTACTGTTCCAGAAATACATCCTCTTCCATTAACCCATATCTCTACAGTTGTATGGTCTGAATTTCTTTTGAAAGGCAGAAAAGATGTATTCACAACATTGGTAGCACATTAGCTCAAAAGCTAAAGAGGAAACTGATTAAGAGTTTAAAGCTTCTTCCACCACTCTGTCTTCCTAGACATCGAGAGGGAAGCAGACACAGAAATTAGCAAGACTGAGAGAAGTATGAATATCTTGCCAGTAATGCGGCCGCTTTCTAAACAGAAGCCACCTTCAGTGGGCTATTATTGGCTACTAATGGAGAAGGCTTGCAATTAACCCTTTCCGGTACATCATTAGAGCTATCTACAAAGAACATCCTGGCTGTGCACAATGAGACTATAATTCTTTTATATTCCCTCCTAAAGTTTTGGTTTAGTAGTCCATAGATGATCGCATTGAGGCAACTGTTGAAATACGCCATGTAGTAACTGGCCACAAACAGCCACTCTGGGATGCTGGGCGCCATGCTGGCAGGGTCTGAGGCCACCGCAAGACCAATAAAGTTGAGAGGAGCCCAGCAAATGGCAAAAAGGACAAAAACCACAAACATGGTGACAAAATTCCTGAAGTCCTGGGGCTTCAGTTTGGGCTTGTTGTCGGGTTTCACCCTCCGTCGGACTTGAAGCACCAGGACCCATATTCTCAGGTAGCAGAAGATGACAATGACCATAGGGACAATGAAATGGAAAACCACCACTGTGATCGTGTACGCCGAACTGACTGACTGTGCGAACGTACAGGAGTAGATCCTTGAGTCGTACTGGAGTGTCCCAATGTGAAAGTTGGGCATGATTGCCACGAGGGTCAACGTCCATATGAGGAACACGTAGCAGAGGGAATTCTTGTTACTGTACAGCTTGTCGTACTTCAGTCTGTGGCAGATGTAGCAGTAGCGGTTAATGGCAATCCCAGTGATATTAAATACTGAGCTGATGACACTCAGGCCCATCACGAAAGCGCTGATTTGGCAGTGCAGGTAGCCCAGGTTCCATCCGTCGTTAAATATAGATGTCAGCACCAAGGGGTAGGGATAGACGGCCACTACCAGGTCTGCCACTGCAAGGTTTACCACAAATATATTTCCTAAAAGGAAAAATACAGGTTAATGCATGAGTTTCACTGATTTGGGCAATTAGTGAGTTATGGTCAATAAATCCCACCCTTCTAATCGTGGCTCCCTATGTAACAAATGATGGTTCTGGACTTTACACGCTCGTTGCCATCGTCCCATTTTGGAGAGCGTTCTGACGGGCATCCACTATGCTGGCGGGCTAGGATGGGGTGAGATTGAGATCCGACCTTGGTGGAGGGTGTGCACCAAGCCACGTTTTTTGCTCACTTGAGAGCATCTTCAAGACCACACGTCCGAACTGGGTGTGAACCAGGCCACACCCTGTGATTTCCTTGCATGCACAATGATGCCACCACCCAGTCCCACAAACGCCACCTCGCCTGGAATGCCAGACCTCCCTTTTCCTGACGGAGCCTTTGGTGAGCTTCAGCAAGAAGACCTGCTCTGGCATTTTGGACATTTGTAGCTTCTGCCTCTGGATTCTGTGTTTGGCTCACCTCGGCCTGACCTTCCAATTTTGGACTGAACAGCACCAACCACCACATGAGACATTTCCTCAGAGTTTTGTGCGTTTTTCTGTGTTGTGAGTTTCTGTTGGATGTTGCCGCGAATCACAAAATCGGGGCCATGAGGGAATACATTCAAGGGAGGAGTGGAGGGAATGGATCACAGTCATGTCCTATATATATATATATAATGACGGTTATTTTTCCACACCCTGAATGGCCTGGCATCACATCTCCTGTACAAATGTCGGGCCACTTTCACCGGCAAATAAGCTCTTTGTTGCCCTTGTCAGACAATCAAGTACTCTCGTACAGTGTGCACATTGTCACAAGACATAACCCTATTCCAAATGGCTGACTTTCCAACCATCTTGTTCTTCTTGTTTTTAAGATTCATCTTGAGTTCGGCACACTTAACCACTACCACCACTACTCGCTTGAATTGAGTCCAACTCCTGGTGACCTCACGTGCGTATATCGGAAGAGAGCTGTGCTGCATAGGATTTTCTTTTGTTTTCCCCAAATACTTTTATTGGGGGCTCTTACATCTCTTATCACAATCCATACATTCATTCAGTGTGTCAAGCACATTTGCACATATGCTGCCATCATCATTTTCAAAGCATTCTCTTCCCACTTGAGCCCCGGATATCAGCTCCCCATTTCTTCCCCCCTCCCTCCCCCGCCCACTCTCCCTCAAGAACCCTTGATAAGTTATAGATCATTATTTTCATATCTTACATCGTCCTCTATCACCCCTTACCCACTTTTCCATTATCCGTCCCCCTGGAAGGGGGTTATAGGTTGATCCTTGTGATCGATGTCAATGGCTGGTTTTTCAGAAGTAGATCACCAGGCCTTTCTTCTGAGGCACCTCTGGGTACACTGGACTCTCAACATTTTGGTTATCAGCCACGCTCGTGAAAAGTTTGCCACATATAGATGAATATTCTAGCAAGGCTCTCTTGATGTTTGCTAGATCTACCTCTAGAATCTGTCTCATAATCTGACCTTTTGGTTCTTTGTACTTGTAAAAATCTGATTCAGTAGAAATGCATTAAATACATATAACAGGCAGTGGGTAAATAAGAGCAAACATACATGGATCCTACGGTCCTATAACTAGAAAAGTTAAATTACAATAGAGAGGAAAATATAAGAGTATGAACAGTGAGAAGCAGCAAGGGAAGGGCAGGAGCTAACCAGAAACTGGCAGGAGCATTACAAACTGAGGTGAAAACACATTGAGTCTCATATACATTTTAAGAGAAGGGCATCATCCCTTAGAGAAAGGCATCATGTTTGGTAAAATAGTCAATGAAAAAGAGGCAGACCCTCAAATAGATGGACTAACACAGTGGCTGCCACAATACGTTGAAACATAACAATCGTCAGGCTGGTGCAGGACCAGGCACTATTTCCTTCTACTGTCCACAGGGTTGCTAAGAGGCAGAAGAGACTCTACAGCACGTGACGGCCGACAGTTAAGGGCCACTGCAGGTGCTGTCATTAATCACGTGACTGCACACTGAAAGTCTGGCATTCTGAACTCACCGAGCCCTCTCTCCGTGGGAGGAGTTTACAACCTTGCAGGTCCTGTGGCGAAGCTCTTGTCGGTTCTACAGGGTGTTTGAGTTGAAATCCACTGGGTATCAATGGTTGATAGGCTAGATGATTGGTTACGAGGGCAATGGTCAGAGCACCGCTACTGACAGGTTGGTAGGCTGAACCCACCCAGTGGCCACTTGGGAGAAAGACCTGGTGATCGGCTTCTAGAAAGAAGCAAGAAAACGCCACACACTTGTCAGTTCTACGGAGTCAAGAGGTTGCTAAGAGTCAGATTGACTGTCCAGTACCCAACACCACATATTTATCTTTAAATGTGTCTTTCCCAAAGGAACAACGGTGGCACAGAGGTTAACTACTTGGCTGCTAACAAAAAGGTTAGTGGTTCAAATGCACCAGCTGCTCCACAGGAGAGAGATGTGGCTGTCTGCTTCTGTGAAGATAACAAACATATTGTTGAGAGTGAGGGGGGTCAGGGCAGAGACCCAAAGTCCTTCTGTAGACAGTGGGACATCCCCTCACAGCGGGATCACAGGGAAGGGGTGAGTCAACCAGGGGGCAGTAAAGCACTGATGAAACACACAATATTCCTCTGGTTCCTTGAGGCTTCCCCACCCCACCCCACTGTCATGACCCCAGTGCTGCCTCTCACTGTGGACTAGAGCGGAGCATGCACACAGGTGCAGATAAGAGATAAGAGCTCACGACACATGGAGTGCAGGTAGTACAGGAATGAGGACAGCGATACCAGAAGGGTAGGAGGAAGGTGGGGAGAGAAGGAAAGGAAGGGGGAACCAATCGCAATGATCAACACATAAGCACACACACACCCTCCAGGGGGAAGAACAACAGAAACCACGGGGGAAGGGAGACCGCGATCAGTGTGAGGTATGAAGATATTAATAATTTATGATTGATCAAGGAGTCACGAGGGTGGGCGTGGTGGGAGGGTGGGAAAAAGAGGAGCTGATACAAAGGGCTCAAATAGAAAGTAGATGTTTAGAAAAGAATGATAGCAACATATGTACAAATATGCTTCTTGATACAATTGATGTA